ATTATTTGTACTTATTACTTACTTACTATACTACCATCTATACTTTTATTAATTATTTTTTCTCTTTTTGCTGCCTTTCTCTTACTGGCTGTCCTGCCCCACCTTAGCATCACGTCATGCTATGTGAGAACCATAGAGTTCAGGGTTTCAATTTTGCGGCTGAACATGTGATGGGATTAGCGCCGGGGAGAAGAAAAAAGATCAGGTTTTTCTCTCGAAGCGAAATCGAGTTTTTTTTTGTCGAGAACTTCTTGAAGAATAATTCCTGTTTCAAGGGATCTATGAAAGCGTTGGATTGACTGATCGTTCTTCCTCATCAAAAGTCACTTATTGAAGTGGTGGGCTTGATACCGGTTGAGCGGTCGTGTTGCTTGATTATCAGTAAATCAATACTTATGAAATCCCTCGTATTTGTTGAGTTGGGCTCCTAGGACATTCTCGGCATGGACAGTATTATGTCAAATGGATTCCAGTTGGTAATTTCGTCATGAGGTCATGGATACCGTGCCTTCCGATTTGCATCAAAAATTCAAAAAAAACCTACAGTAATCTCCCTTTAGTGACATATATTTCGTATAGCAGATGAACATATTTGAGTCACTTCTCAAAAGTGCGACCCTGCTCCCCTTCATCTTCCTTTTGTCCCTCCTCGAATTGCACTGAACTCTACCTGAACCGCCCGCTCTTGAAAGCCGCCATTGAACGTACAAAGTGCTGTACTTACAGCATCAGTTTAAATATTTGTAGAGAGGCGGCCGTGGGTGTTTTCAAGCAGCCGCTGAGACCATTTCATCACTGCTGTACTGTTGCAGTGCCACCGCTGCGGTCGTCATCGACAAACGGTCCCCCTCTCTGCCGTGGCTGAGCAGCTGAGCAATAGCTGTGTTCACAAGGACTCAAGATGACTCAGCCCGCCACAATTTTGACCCACTAGCATTTTCCGGGCAATGTCGTGGCCATATAGCGCTTATTTCCGGGCCAAGAACAGGTCAACGTAGTGTCTCACTGACTTTGGAGCGGGGTTATGGAAGGTGGCCATAGAAGTCATGTCAGTTATGTGAAATACCACGGCAATGGGATCACTCCAAAATACGACTCATTTTCAGCGGTAGCTGTGGTTCGACCTTTCTTCCAGCTCCCTCATTGACGCCAAGGCTGGGGGAGAGCCAGGGCGCGTCGTTTATTGAAGCTGCCCCTGGGGGAGGAGATTGTATTTGGTTGCCGGAGGAGCGGCAGGACTTCGCACCTTTTGACGAAAAGTTTTTTTGGCGTTTGCAGTTTTCTGAATTTCCGTTCCCGTACGCTATAACGTGCCCAGCCCGTCACTCCCCCCCCCCCCTTTCCTCCAAACCAACACTCCAGGAAGTGCCGTGGAGTAGCACACCTGCGAAGGGAGAAGTCAAAGCTCGTACCCCTCTGGAAATTCTCTCGCTCAATCCCACCGGTCCTCCTTTATTATAGCGAGACTGAATCAGACCTCTCCTGAGGAGGCTTCGCGCCTGTGCTTGCTCCGGAGCACTCATCAAGAAGGAGCATCCAGGATGGTCTTCAATGACTTGACGCAAGCATAGCTTTCAGTTCTAGCTGCCTTGCTAGAGATGTAGACGGCATCGTCCACAAAATTACTCATAAGCCTTTGTAGTCGGTTCGCCATGGGGTACGTTCGAGTAGTGCTGGGACCCATCTAAGTAAAAGCAGGAATGTAATGGAAGACGACAACCGAGGTCAAGTATTACTCACCATGGAGTGTTTTTTGGCAGCGATTCAACTGCGGCAGAGGCTTCTGAGCTTAAAACTGCACTCCGATGTGTATCGGACAGTACGCTTCTCAGATTATTGGCCGTCGCGGCGAACCCTAGCTCTTTCGTCAGGGCTAAGGTTTGTTTCGATTCTTCGCAGGTTCATTCGTCGTGGACGGTCAGCTACACCTGACGCTAACCAGCGCAAAGTTCTGCAGGTCTTTGCAAATCAGAGATCTTTTGATTCGGGAATGATCAAACCCTCAACCCTTTACAGACCTGATCTCTCACCACTAACCACTCATCTATCCTGCCTACCGATGGTATCGACCATTTCTGGGTTGAACTTTCCCATGCAAATGGCCCCATCGCCTCCAGATTGTCTACGTCTGTTGTCGACAAGTGAAGTGCACATTCTGTTTGACAAAGTTCTGTGTTCCGATTTACGGTTTCTCCCGGCTTCCAGGGCTTGTGGGTGGACTAGGCGCCTACTGCCTTGTCTCTTTATTCCACTTTTAATGTTTTAATTTTCACTCACTTTGTTAAATCGGTTTTCAATTTTTGAAACAAGTTGCTATTTCTAGAATATAATTGACCGTTTTTAAACTGATCTCTTGGTTTTCGGGCAGATTTGACTGCACTTTTCAACGCCGATGGGACCGATGGGATCCGGGCAAGGCTCAAGGAGCTGGCCGTATCTGAGCTAGTCGCAATGGGAAGCGCACGTTACTTTCTAAAATTGTGTCGTAAGGACCACACACCGCATCACTCTTTTCTATTGAAACCTGCTTCGCGATGATCGAATGGCAGGCAAAGCGGGCTTTTCATCTTCATCCTGTAAGAACTAAGGGTAGATCAGGGAGGCTCAGTGGTTGCTTTTATTAATTTGTTTATTGTAGTGGGTCCCCGCCCATCACCTTATCCCCACGACCATCACGGAAAGAATTTTTGAAGGCTCAGGCAGCACAGTTCAACGACGGCGGGGGCATTTTGTACTATCATTGCCTCCTCAGTTCCGGTGTACGAATGCGAAACGGAAACTAGACTACTTCCTTGAAATCAATAAAAACAAAAATTTGATCTAAAAAGAAAAACTAAATAAATATAAATAAATAAATGATTAGATAAATAAGTGAATGAAAAATCAATATTTGAAAATTATACCACAGTTTCATACAATAATGTTGTAATCATTAGAACAAATATAAACTAATTTTATCACACTAAAATCACATTACAAGTCTCACTCTATCGGAACCTGTGAACTCTTGTGAAGCTGGAGCAAGGTCGTCAAGCCATCATGTTAAAACCTGTCAACTCGAGAAGAGGCTGTCTAGATAGGTCGACACGTCGATGGGAAGTAGCAAAAGTGCAAAATGCCCCCCCCCCCCCCGTCGCCGAACTGCGCGGCTCAGGCGAAACACGTGGCAACCGACACACCGTACGCAAAAGCGATTGGGTTCTACAGTAGGGAAATTCTATAATCAGACCCAAACGCGGACGGTGGACGCCCTCCGCTTCCCGTGTGGGCTCGACGCGTCAAAATTGCAAATTCCTAACGACTATATCCACGAAGCGCTCTCTCTCGTGCTCAGGGATACCCAAAGGCGGATAACGACTCATATACTGGCCATCGATGTTTTTATGAGTAAGAGATACCCAAAGGGAGTTTTTTTTATATCAGGGAGTGGGCCACACCTGGATTCACTCCCAAATGTTTGATCTCACACTCATTATTCCACTTTCTCTGTACCATTGATTCCAAAACTCTACTTAGTAATTTTTCCTTACCAAAAAGATCTCATTTTTTCCGATCAATTTTTCTATATATAGGACGCTGGCGCAAGAATGATGCTGGCGGCCGTCAATCCATATTCATCGTCGTCGAGCAACCATCGCTTCCAGATACAAGACGTCACAGATGATCCTGAGGTGCGGTGTTGATTCTAAATTTTTTGGGCGCAGTCGGCATTGGTGGGAGCTATTTTTCTGTTTTATCATCTTAGTCGATGGTTCCCTGAGGAGAGCTGAATATTAACTGTTAAAAGCTATGATCAGCCTATGAGCTTCGCTTTTTACCTTGAAGAGTATTCCGCAGGTCTCACTCAGATTAAAGTCCCCTGCTAAGAAGGATTCGGCGAAAAGACACTAGCAAGAAGTGGAGGATACCTCCAACCGAACAGCACATAATTTCTTTCTAAAACACCTGAGGAAGGTCTATTAGTCCCGGCTATCCTATCCGATTCTATGCCGTGGCTCTCTGCTACAAACTTTTCGGACATTTTTATAGACATGAAAAGAAAGAAGAGAAAAGACATGAGCGTCATAGAAATCCTTCAAGCTTCTTCGATCTATCAGACCAAAAAATCAGTAGACTTGCTGATTCTACTGAGTTTTTGGTCTGATAGATCGAAGAAGCCTGAAGGATTGCTGTGAGCACCAAGAACCCCAATCTCCATGGTCCCGGTCGTAGCCGCGCGCTAATCCGAAAGCACTGCGTACTCGGGTCCTTTTTCTGTCTCCTCCGTGTTAGTTGACAGTGCCGATTACTTGTGAGTTCTTGCACCTGCTGAGTACACGCTGATGTCATAAGTTTCTAAAGGTCGGTGCATGTTGCGAATGGGTCCTGAGCGGATTAACGGCCGCAGTAGGCGGGTTGAAAAACCTCTGCAAACATTTGAACGTGACGCAGAGTATGTAGCACACGAACAAAACGTTCAGCAACAGGCGAAGCTGGGGAGAAAAGAAAGCGGGAATCCACTTGGCAAACGGGTTCAGAAAGAATTAAAACTCCCATGGATTGGTTCGGTATGGCGTTCAAAAATGAGGTTACTCACGTCAGATTGTGGACGGTCTGAGCGCATGTGCCGTCTTGGAAACAATTATACACTCTAAGCCATGTCTGATGGGAAGGGATCATCATGGAGAGAAGTGAATAGCCGCAGGGATCCCACCCACAAACACAGGGTGGGGATCAAGAGATCCGACCTGCGGAGGGAAACCAGCTCGACTTACGCAGTATTTTTCAGCTTTTGAACTCGGCTTACTGCAGCGCTTTGGGTCAAGTCAATCACGTTTCGGGCTAATGGCTCGCAGGAGTGTCATGCGCGACGCCGCTTTGCCTTACCATCGCAGCTCTATTTCCTAACCTGTACCCGCGCACTCACTTGGCCTGCTACCTTAATTTAGCCCTTCAGAGCGCCCACTGCCTTAAATTATCCTCCCAGAGGACAAGAACGTGCATGGTTTGAAGGCACATTCTGCGATCACCGAACGGGTGGATACCGGGTGGATACACACAAGCATTGTGCCTTTTGGGCCGCTCGGGGGTTAACGGAACGGGCCACACCAAAGAAGTCCTCGTGATTATAAGACTCCACCAATCCCATTCTCGCGGAATTTGTCTCTAAATACGTACAAATTAGATTTGAATTAAGTATTTTCGGTGCAAATATTTGGCTAAAAGCTCGATTAACGAGCAGCAAGGGGATTAGATGTGCAATTCGTCGAGGCACCTGTTGCACCACATATCGCGCCAGGCGTGCTCACGACAAAGTGCTGCGCTTCAAACCATGACAACAATTTTGCATTGGCCGGTCCTGCGGTACGTCCATATTGCAAGAAGAATAGTCTTTCTGGGTGCATGGCGCCTTGATTATCGCTGGCGGGCTCATAAATTAATGAAAGTTCCATTTTTTTTCAGTACTCATCATACGGTAATGAGAATGAAGCACCAGAAGAAGGAGCGTTGGTTGAGTACTGTCGATTGGACAAACGAGAACAACCGAGCATTCCGCGAGTATACGACGCCCCAACTGTTGTGCATGCAAGACTGGTTACACCCCCAATGATCGTGAGTCCATTTTTTCAGCAATATGATTTCCAGGGAGGCTTGCAAGGATAGCTGGAGCTCTTATGGTTAGATCAGATTGGACATGAAGTAATTGAGATGAAGATTCAAGCGATTAATCCGATAGCAACATCTATGAGACGAGAAAGGGGGGTCCTCTTACTACAAGAACTCGTTTTGAAGGCAAAATCGGTAGAAAGTCATAATTTTCAGCTACTGGATCAACCAAAAATATCTGCTTCGAAGGCATATTCCACGTTGATAGTATGAGCGGAAATATGGGCGGAAACAGTCGACCATTGCGCTCACTCTTACGCACCCTCCTGTCCACCCGTTCGGATAGAAGAGGCAAACCAACTAGTAGATACAGTGCTTGTCAATCAGCCACTTGTTTATTTGTTGCGAAGTAAGCCCTAAGCAAGACACTGATTCGCTTCTGAGCTCCTCTCGGCTGAATGTTGATCAGGTCCTTGTATAGTCCGCTCAGTATCTGGAGTTGTTTATTATGATAATGTTGTTTTTAGGCCGCAGTTTCGCGTTCAAAAAAGTTAATCTTAGAGAATGCTGGGTAGACTTGCCCTGGGGTGCGACTTCGCCCATAACTCAGCATTGTTGTGGTCCTCTTCAGTATTCTCTGAGGAAATAGACACCCTTCGAGGTTTTGTTAGTTGATAGACGTATTTGGTTTTGTATTCTGGAATTCTCTCAGGTTGGAAGTACAACCTCTCCCATGAGCAGATTCTCACACTTACCTACGCTCTTACCAACTCGTACCAAATTTCCCTAAAATTTTGCCGTCGAGAGGAGTAGCCACCCTACCAAATATCGGGAATGGTATATTTTGCCGTGCCTTCGAACTTGAAAAAAGGGAAGCTTGATCAACCATTGGAAGAAATTTCTCGGCGTGCGACAAACCACCCTGCGCCTTGTGTGCCGAAGATAAATCGGTCAACGGAGGTCCATTCTCATGTTGGATGCGCCATGAATTCGATTCCCTTGCAAATCTCACCGCTTTCGTAGCCGCATTCGATCCATACTATTACTTTCGAGAGAAGACTAAGGTAACAGTGGTCATATTCACGTACGCAGATCCGGTGCCAGACAGACGACTTTTAAATGTGAGAAATTGGTTGGCCTGAATGTTGAGCTCGATCTGGGGCCATGCTTGTGGTGTGAGCGCCACTCGCCGTTCTCTTCCTCTTGTCCAAGTTCCTAAGCACCTTCAGCCTATTTCTATTTCCATACAGCATCCTGGGGCACAGTATTACCCCTTGCATCTGTCAGTGTACCGCCGATGGCTGAACGACGAAGTGCAGTATGGTACGCGAAGGAGACACCGAGGAGAGGTCATTCTTCTTTGTGCTAATAAACTGCTGAGTTCGAAGCCCGAAAGTGATTTTGAACGTTGCCCACAGCGACGGCTGATGAAAACCGGGCCATGATTTATTGTTTCTACTTGCATTCTCGTTTCGACAAAGGTAACATTGTATGGGCTCTTCAGTCGATCCTTCTTTCAGACTCTCATGAAATCTGGTCTTCTTCCCATATTGTTCATCTTTCACTAATCCTTGGAATGCTTGCTCATCCAAGCCATACTGAAGACGAAGACGAAACTTACTCGCAAGTAGCCCTACAAGTATCAAAATCGAAGGAATGAATCAGCAAGCGTTGGATACGTCACGCATTCCACTTCCATCAAGGTTGTTGCTCATGCAGTGATGCACGCAGCCAGCCGATGAAGGAAGTCAGGTGTTTTCCTCCTCCACAGGACGAGTCCGTAGCAGGCCAATCCCGAGTTCCAAAGTACCAAGGTCAACTTCCTGACGCGTACGAGAGAATTAAACGGCTAACATCGGCCTATTGCTACACTAGGGTACAGTAATCAGAGTGAGTCGGTGCCAAGTGCTAGTACCCGAATTGGCGCCTCATTTACGACCCTCTCCTTTCCTCTCACAATCTACCTACGCTCTCACCGCATTCTTCCGGGATTTTATCAAGTTGGGAGGGGGAGGGGGCTGACACTAGAACTCAGTTGTCAAACGTGACTGGCAGTTTTGCCCAACCAACTGAGGGGCTTAGGGGTTGGGATTTTACCCACAGTGCGTGTGGAACGTGAAGAATCCAGAGTTGGGTAAACTACTCTCGGGGCTGAACACGGTCTCCCCCGATCCCCGTAGGCTAGGCAAAGGTACCCGTAGAGGTACCTTTGCCTAGCCTACGGCTTTAGATAAAGATCGGCTATTTGTAAGACCAATCTTGCTTCAGTTAGTTTTGTGGGTTAGTCGCTTGCTACCAGGCAGGTTTGCGAGAGTAAAAGCAGATCCGAGGGATAGGCTGGCTTCTTCAGAACATTTTTATACGGAAGATGAATTCGACTGTCTTTACGACTTCGCGTAGAAGTTATGTTCATGGCGCATTCGATTGTTCAACGCCGTATCGCCGAACTCTGTCGGTCGCTATTTAGTTCGTGCTTGGTAGTTAGCTAAGGGGTTTCTGGACGATTTTTCCACTGGTTCTGAAAGAATACTCCGTTCAGACGAGTTTCCACCCTTATTTTAATCTTTCCAACTGCCTTACGTCCCCAGAATCTGACCGGATGCCGGCTCAACAAGCTTTTGTCTAGTCAAAGCTCGAAGCTCTTTGCCCTTTGCAGAATTGTTCGCTCCAAAGACGCGGCGTTCGTGGTTCATTGAATTCGGGTCTCTAATGAGGCAAAGGAATGAGTCTATTTGGGAGGGACAACGCAATGTTGATGATTGTTCCAAGTCCACAACGCCCAATCCACTTTGTTCAATCTCTAGAGGCCCCTCTTAGGCACGAGAAAACGATTCTAAAGTGGTCTCCAAAAACCGTTGAGCGCTCTATTCAATTCACGACCACATCTCGTCATAACTACGCTCTTTCGATGCCATTTTCCCCCCTCTGTTTTACAATGTACCCCCCACAATCTCGTAACTATGAAGCCATTACATTTATCCTTTTTATGGGGTAGTTAGGATGTCGGCGCTTCAACGCAAATAGGCAATTTTGAAAGACATTGCTTTTCAGGTTCGTCTGTTGTCGAGTCTTGGCTAGCATATAGGGTCTTATGAGAGACATGCTTCTTAAAGCCAATGAATTCCTCATTGATTATTGAAATTTAAAGTTAAAGGTCCAAGAATTCTCCTTGACATTCTGACTGCGTTTGATGCGCATTGCCTTGCTAACCAGGGTGCATAAAAGGCACTTGATACATTTCTCCCCCACACAACTCCCCCCCCCCTCCGTCCCCAAATGTGATCCCTCTGACAACAACTCTTGCTGTTGCCAGCAACAAGGGTAGCAAGGTTTTTTCAGACCTTGTGACTGTTTGAAAAGTTGTGAGCAGGTTCAAATAGGGACGTTTTAAAGGACAGCACTCGGTCTCGCGTTTGAAGCTTACCGTTAGTAAGGATAGCATGGTATGACCTATCAGGGAAGAATATTCTGAGCAATCCGAATAGTGGGGGGAAAATCGCGATGTGCCGCGCTGGAGTGGGGGGAGGGGGGTGGGACGAGTGACGCTGCTTCCGCCAGACGAGTTATCTTGCTTGGTCTTTTGAATCCGAGCGTTCAAGGCATTAGAAGTTCGATGTCGCTTATCGTGGATTCTAGTATCTGCTTGAATTCGTACGAGTCTCGCTGCTACCCTTATACCCACCGAGACTTTGCCGAGCATTGCCGCTCAATCCGCACGCGCGACAAAGCGACAATTACGATTGTCTTGAAATGAAATGTGTGCGGTGTGGCTTCGACTATTATAACCTGCCCTCCAAGAAGCTGCCAATGTGGAAACATTTTCAAAATTATAGGCAATCTGCGGCCAATAAGTCGCCCCACACAGGAGGGAGATTGGTCAGACCAGACGCAAATCTTTCCGGAATCTGACCCCAGGACCACACTTGTGGTGGGCACACCAGCTCCGCTCTAGGATTGCATGATACACTCTGAAATCAAAAACATGAAGAATATAGGGTGCCCACGCATTCTACTTTCATTCAGAATTGTAGAGGTATTTCTGATTGCGATGTGGCGTGTGCAAAGTGCCAGTCAATGTATAAGTATTTGTTTTCCGCCTTTCAGATAGGTCTGCAATCAATTTGCTAAACTGGAAAGGAGGAATGCTTGGTTGATCAAGAGGGAGCCCATCTAGGATTTGACCCCTACCCGCGTCTGATGACTAGCGCAGCACTGACCACCACACCACCCATTCTGGACTCATTTACGGTTGATTATCGTTTCCCTGCTTCGTAAGGGAACAATACTATTTGGTCATTCGACCCCTACCCGGCATAGGAGCGTTGAATTTCTTGTTCCCCTGATACGAATCGTTGATGCTGAAAGTTCGGTGTTAACGGTCCGTGATTTGACCGTACCGTTCGCTCTGAACCCTGTCTTTCCCTTTTTATGCAGAAGACGGAGTTTTGAATCCTCAAGGTGGACCCTTTGAAGCTTAACTCACAATTATTCCCAATAGGCCCTTTCTGAAGAGACGTGAAGTGCCAGGCGTATCCCGAAAAGGGGTTTATGAGCGCCAAATGAACTCTTTTCGTAGAAGGGCACAGTCATTGATGTCGTGTGCGCTCAACTGATTAGTGTGGCTCAATTCCCAGCCCCTATCGTTTCTCGAGATGTCTTTCAATATATTCCCGGCATTGAAAGTACTTTAGAGGATAATTACTCTTAAGATATATGAGTAACGTCAATATGATGGCCACAGTTGGCTTAGTCGACGTCTAATCGCCAAGGAGTCGGATTTCCGGTCGCAAAGGCATCCATCGATGTTCGTCACTGGTCGGATTCTTCTTGCATAGTTTGCCGAGCCGCTTTGTTCCATCGAAAAGTGCTCAGTTCCCACCGAACTAGAGCTGTCCAGATGTACTGAAGGCGCGTTTCCATCATAAAACTCATTTCCGTCTCTTTTCTTTGATTGTCTCGTCTCTCTACAGCTTGATTTTTTGCCTCAAACGAAATTCCAAGGCCAATGCCTAGTCGTTTCTCCTTAAACATACCCTCGTTGGTATTGCAGTCAGTCGTCGTCTCTTCAGCTGCCACACTATTTCTGACGACTCTGGGTGAAAGTCTGAGTAACTCGATTAATAGGCGTCGGAATAATAACAGACTACGGCTATAGGGCACATTTGGTCACTGTGCCGACGTATAAGATCCGTCCAGCTCCCGGGCAACCGCCCATTCATGCTCGGTGAAGCGACAATGCGCAGCAGTTCTCTGTATTCGAGCAATGCACAGAC